ATTTTCTGTAACATTCCCTATCTCCCTTGCATTTGTTTCCCTTATCTGCTATTTGTAAGGCCTCATTGGACAGCCACTTTGCCTTCTTGCATTTCCTTTTCTTTGGGATGGCTTTTGTTGCTGCCTCCTGTACAATGTTACGAGCCTCCAGCCATAGTTCTTCAGGCACTCTGTCCACCAAATTGAGTTCCTTAAATCTGTTCTTCACTTCCACTGTGCATTCATAAAGGATTTGGTTTAGATTATACCTGACAAGCCTAATGGTTTTTCCTACTTTCTTCACTTTAAGCTTGAGTTTTGCTATAAGAAGCTGATGATCGGAGCCACAATCAGCTCCAGATCTTGTTTTTGATGAACTGTATAGAGCTTCTCCATCTTTGGCTGCAGAGAATATAATCAATCTGATTTTGGTATTAAGCACATGGTGATTTCCATGTGTAGAGTTGCCTCTTGTGTTGTTGGAAAAGAGTGTTTGTGATGACCAGCTTGGTCTCTTGACAAAACTCTATTAGATTTTGCCCTGCTTCGTTTTGAACTCCAAGGCCAAACTTACCTGTTGTTCCTTTTATCTCTTGACTCCCTACTTTAGCATTCCAGTCCCCTATAATGATAAGAACATTTTTCTTTGGTATCAGTTCTAGAAGGGGTTATAAGTCTTCATAGAATTGGTCAATATCAGCCTCTTCAGCATTGGTGGTGACTTTTTCAGAGAAACATTGTAGATAATATTTATAGACATGTTTAAATATTTGTCTATGGAAACTACAGTCCATTCATCTGAAGATGTCACTCAACAAAAGTTTGTGCTGAATAAAATCTGTTAGCCTTTGAGGTAATTAATAGTGGAGAGTCCTTCTGATGCACAGAAAAAGGAGCAAGATTGATTCCTAAGGTTTGAAACAGATATTACATATACTTCCATGTTGGGAAGAGGAAATTCTTTAACAAATTAAAGTACAGGCTTCTTTCACCAGCTCTTGATCAAGGGATATACAATGACATTGGTGGTTTTTTGTTTTACATTCTCTCTTCATCTAAATAAGAATTTGAGATGGAAGCAAACATAACTTATCTACAAATGCCTTGCATTAAAAGGAAAAGATTCCTGAATAGCAATAAGCCTTTTCAATTTTAAAATGGAGAAAGCATGCATACAAAACTGTATCCCTACAAAAGTCTTATGTTTTGACATAGTAATTGCCACAAGCTTTGAGATCACACAGAAATGCTCATCTGACCACCCATCTTTCCTTTTGGAATACTCTGCTTATCTTTGATACTCCAATTACTTCCCCTTCCCCATTAAAGATTAAACAGAGCATTGGTAGTGAAAAAGAAGAAGAAGCATACCAGAAGAAGAAGAAGAAGAAGAAGAAGAAGAAGAAGAAGAAGAAGAAGAATACTTACTCCACATTCTTAGCCCATGGTGGTGGGTCACTCATGGCCATGAAGACACAGTTGGTTAAGATGGTTATCATTATAAACATGCTGAATAATTTGAAAACAAGGTCAAGGAAATGAAATAGGCCTCTCTCAAAATTCCCAAGACACATTTATTTGGTAAACCCATGGGAACAACAGGTCTGTTGGATGATGACACCTTGGCAGGAATCTAAAGGATCAAGCAGCTCATTGAGCTTGGTCAGGTCCAAGGTGACTGGGTTTGTGTTTGTTAAAAACATTCCCCTTTTAGGGTGCCACATGAAATTAGGGACAAGGCTCCTGTACCCCTCATAGTGGCATAGAAGAAGCAATTTCAGCAGATGTAGCTTGTGTATCTAGTTACATCTGATTAAATTTCTATTTTATTCAGTTATTAAAGGTAAAGGAGCCCTGCACTCCATTTTATGTGACCCACCTTCCTCCAGTCCACATGGCAGTCAGCTTCCAAAACTAAAGGGACTTTAAACAGCAATGTGACATGTGATATGTTAGTCTACTGTGCAAGGAAGAGCAATAAACCATTTTGCTAGACATCCACAGGCTATTGGGCTTCATTTTCTTGCTTTCCCAACCAGTTATGCAGCACAAAAGACTACCAGCAAAGGGTATTAGGTTTGCCAACTGAAGACTGAGGAAATTGTGGTTCCCTGGATCTCCAGAAGGCATGCCAATCTCAGGATAAGTGGCATAGGAGGGAGAAAGTTTGGGGGCAACTATGTTTACTCCACATTTTAAATTGGATGGGGCATGGTGGAATTTGAATTAAATCCTAGTGCCTAGACAATATAAAGCTCAATGCAGGAAAGCCAATTGTGAAATCGTCTTTTTTTGAGCAGGGAATCATCCTTTTTTGTTCAGTTGGCAAAGTGGTTTAAATCTGTTCTGATTGGTTTGACAACCCTTTTATTTGTTTTCTGCCCATGTGATTGCCTGATCTGATGATGCAAAGGGGCACTCATGGGGGATGTCAGTTTTCCTCAACCAAATACCACTAGTCTCCAAACCATTTCTTATAA